TGGGCCTAAACCCCCACATAGCCAATACATATAAACGGACAGATACTGTGACTGGAGCGGATCTCTATATATCTATTCAGTAAAAGCAGGAACAATTAACGTGTGTATGTATATTTCCCAAGAGTCAAAAGTCAAATAAAAAGCGGCATCAAAATAATGCAAATATTAAAAAAAACAGTGAATATTTTTGTTTAACTCTGGACAATTTACACAGCGCTATCTAATCCCACGGTAAGCAGAGCTTGTGGTATGGATATCAGACAACAGATATAAATACTTACATACTTTTTTTGTTGTAGATACATACATAATATACATAGAAAACGCCTGACTAACAGTCATACTCATGAATACAAATGTTTGCACCGTGCGAGGAATCTAACCCGTGACCATCGTAAATAAAGCGGTGTGCGAAACCGCTAGACCACCGAGGCAGTCAATATATACCGTGATATGCTGCCAGTAACACAGTTTGGAATTTATAACATTACTACGGATCGTATATTATACATACATTCTGAAATAAATTCTCTAATTGATAATGAGGACCTTATGTAAATCTCCTCTTTTAAAATTACTAGAAAATAAAATAATACGTAGAGCTGTTGCTACGCACTGTTTCGAATTTCTGTAAAGACAGATTCGTGAGGCGGGCGGCGATTTCGTCTCTTCATAGGGTTGTACATATGATAAAATTAATAGTAATAATAATCTCAGGACAATTCACACAGCGCCATCTAGACCCAAGTTAAGCTAATTAGAACTTTATATTATGGGCACTAGACAACTCAAAACTAAAATACATAGATATTTTATTTGGTAAATACGAACATTTTATACATACCAATACAAACAATTATACTAATCGAACCCACGACAATCGGAAGGCGGTGTGCTAAACTACTAAACTACCGAGGCCGTCAGACCGTCATTATATTTCTAAACAAATGTCACAAATATAAGTATTTGTTTTTTTAATGAATAGTATTATTGCTGTCATTCCATTTACCATCAACAGATGGCGATCTTACAAAGTCACTAGTCAAAGTAAAAGTTACAAAGTCGCCACTGCCGTATAATAATACTAGTTGACACATGCAACTTCGTCTGCGTCAGACTTTCCCATTTTTGCTACATTTGCATTGCAGCCCTGCTCCTATTTGTCATAGCGAGATTATATAAACCTTCAAAATCGGTTCAATAGATCTAGAGCCACACAGCCTTACAAGCTCACAAACTACAAAAGGGATTGTTATAGTTATGTGGACTAATAATCCCATTGCTAACAATGTACCATGTCAGGTTCACCTCCACGCGGTTCCTCCTGGAAATCATCGTGATAAGTTCTTGGAATTCGAATTGGACCTTACCTCATGCTCATCCTATCATCCTCCACTGACGCCCCGCCAGCGTATACCGTTAGCGCAAGCGGGTGCTCCATTCCATTATCATCCATTAAAAAAAAGACCTCACACACTTACAAACTTTATTATAATATTAGTAGAGATAAAAGTACATACAGTGTATAAATATCTGGTAAATAATAGCCATACTATAAATTGGCGGACTATATGTTATTTTCTACATTATTCTGTACTTTATTAGTCAATATTGTAGAGCAAATCCTACAATATATAATTCCCGTTATTTCAGCGCCGTCACAACCTTGGTGCGACCTACAGAGGTCTCGACAACAAGTAAATATATACAAATGGCCGTAGACAGAACAAAAACAAAGCCGTTTAGCAACCCACTACTATTATTACACACACCTTATCAATTCTGAGATATTTATTTGTAAATAAAAAAAATTATACATAAATATTTTGTATAGCACAAATATGGCTCCAGGTATCTAGGTAAAGATTGATATCAATCGTAAAAATAGTTAAAAAAAAATTAAAATTTTGTTTGTAATAACTTATAGCGAAGATACTACTTCGGGCAATGAATCCTCCATTATAGATGTACAGATTATCTGTATTCTCTAGTCCTAGACCTACAACTAATACCAGACCAAACCCAGGGCCGATCACTAGTTGCAAAATAAAGTTCTGTCTAATCTAATTTGTATATACATCTATGGAAATAAATATAATTGAAGTGTCTTATTTTAATTTAACAGATATAAGTTAATGAAATTGAAATATTTTTAAACAAATAAATTTTGTCTCTATGTCAGTCTGATTGTTCTTAACCTCTGAAACGGCTAGACCGATTTTGAAGTCTATTTCAGATAGCTAGTATTATAAGGAGTTACTTATGCTAGTTTAATCTCATTTATTTTAATAAAAAAATAGTTATATTCCACGCCAACAAAGTGCGGGAAACAGCCAGTTATACATGTAGTTATTCACGCAAAAAGGCTAACATCATCAAATATAATGTTAGATTACTCTAGTTTTAAACTTTTCGAAATAAAGAAAAATCAAATCCAGAAGAATTATTATGCCTTATTTTATTTGCTCAACGCGACGGTTGACTGGTAGAGAATGCCATCAGGCACTAAGTCCTACTTGTATACAATTTTATGAGCAAAAGAATTAAATCAAAATATCTTTATCGTGTAGACCTATTATAAACTCTTATAATATATCAAATCTACTATCAGTTGAGAGTGCTTTCGAGCTAAGAAATAACAAGAAACTCAGCACTTATTCTTTTTAAATAAGCTTGTACATGTTTACAAAAATACATATCCATTTTTAAATTAAAATTAAGTAAAATAGAGCGACCACCAGCATATGCTATTGTAATTTTGTCAAAGGAAATAGAAATAATAATTATTATATATACAATAACTATTATTTCTATTTATTAATCTACTAAATAATAATAATGAGTATAAAATGGCAGCCCTATAAACTTAATGGCGACCTTCAAGCCTGAGGGATCACATTCCGCGACATAGCAACAACCTCTAGGTCGTTGTAAACGTTAGAAATCGTTGGCTTACAATGGCGAATAGAAACCAGAATAGACCTAATAGAAACACAAAATATTTGTTAAAGCAAATATTTATTTTAAATAACTAATTACGCTAATTAGGATTGTTAATCTATATTTAGTTAATATTGAAAGCTATCTATTTATACAATAGAATTTCTAGGGGTCTAGAATATTTGTTTAAATACTAGTTGTGACGCGCGCCTCTGTACGCATGAAATTATTCTTTCAGTAAGTTATTTAACTTATACTAAATAATTTCTAAAGTTTTGTCTGTATGTTTGTTCGTGCTAATCTCTGAAATGGCTGGACCGATTTTCACGGGACTTTCACTTGCAGATAGCCAATGTTATAAGACATATCTCCTTATAATTTCTAGAATTTTTTTGCTACGTACAAGCACTTGGTGGAATCACCTTCCAGCAATGGATATTTATTATGTATATCTCATATATATACATAATATACATAGAAAACACCCGTAACGATAGACATAGTCAAACTCATATATACAAATGTTTGTACTGTTCGAGTAATCAAACCCGCGACCATTAAAGTAAGGCAGTGTCTAAACATGTAGACCACCCAGACCTTCATTATGCACAAGTGAAATTTACAAATAAAATTGAATAGAAATACCATTATTATTTGTAACTACAAATAATAATAAATTTAAATTATAAGAGTTTGGATTTTTCACGTAACTTCCCTCTGATGGACCGTCAGTTCCTTAGTCATTTTTCGACTTGCATATTACTTATATTATATATATACATGTAACTTGAAAAACCACTTCCTTTTTCAAGGCGATAAATTTTCAAAAAGTTTATTTATATAACGTAAGTACTGCGTATTCGTACCTACATCAAATGAGGAAGAGTTTCTGGAAATTCCCACCTAAATAAAAGATAACGGGTAGTTGTATGCGTCGTGTATTTCTAGTAAATATAGTATCTATAAATAGACATCAGATATTGTATACTAGACTTATACATAGTGAATAAAAAATTCTGTGTACCTCTTCCGTTATATTATGTTTATAATTAGTAAGAAAGCATACTATAATATTATCATACATATATCAATCAATTGTTTACTGTTGACATAAGTTTATTCCATCATCAAAGATTTTATGGAATTTTTGGGGTTTGCAAGTTATACCACGGGTCTTCTTAGACAAGGCCTAAGGCTACCTTTTACCATCCCACCGCTCGCCATCGACAAGGAATTCATCCCCACACGCTGGAACCTAAGTGAACTCGGGCAGTACGGTTTTAATTTATTTATTTATTTATTTATTTAATTCAGGCTACATGGCCCATATTAATTTATAATAATAACCTTATAGACTAACATACATAAGAAATAATAATAAAATATGTAAATAAAATTGTCTCTATAGTCACGGCACTGACGACGGCAATCTGCCACGGTAGCGCCGATAGACCACCCCCTTCGGCCAGTAGTCCTCCTTCATGAAGGTGGGCAGCATGTTGGTGGGGACCCGGGCCACGAACGCTTTGAAGCTCGCTCGCTTAATGGAAGGTTTTCTTGGAAGACTATAGCATGGGGTTCTTCGAGAAGGATATATTAAGGTTTCTTAAGGGTCGGTAACGCGCTCATGATACCCCTGGTATTTCAGGCGTCTATAGGCTACGGTAAACGTTTACTATTAGTGCACTTGTTTGCCACCATCATAGTATAAAAAAAACAACGTCCGCCTATACTTAGGATCTATGTATATTGTAGGGAGTCCATCAAGAATCTTTCTTCTGTGATAATTATATTATCAATCTTGAGGTATGTGATCAGCCTCTTGTTACCACTAGCCATCGTCAGCTTGACGATCTTTTAGAGAATATCGATCACGTTAGTTCCTCTCGGATGTTCGCTTCGATTCGGATTTTCACAGCGAAACTGCATTCATACGTTTGTGAGACCTCATATCAGCAGTAAAGGACCCAATATTATGCATATGTCAAAATACGATGTGCCTATGTGTTTATAAGTATTATTAATGAATAATAATGAAGCGACTACACTTTGGATTGCAGGGAATAACTACACGAGAAGGGCTAAAGATCGTGCCCAGTGGCGTGACTTGGGAGAGGCCTATGTCCAGCGGTACCCTAGAAGTAAAGTCGAATCCGTCACGCAGGAGTTGGCCTTCGGCCGCTCTAAGCTCTTCCGTGGGTTTGGAGTGCATCTGCACTCGCTACCGTTCAGTAAAACTGCCAACTGCGACCAACAGCATTAGAATAGTTCGACAAAAAAGCTAAATACTATATTATACTATGCATAACAGAACCAAGAAACAAAATGTAAATCTAAAAATGTTTTCAAACAAAATATAGCTGACCGCAGATTGTAAGATTACAAAAAAATATTTTCTTTCGTGGTCATTTCTATGATATAGACCTGTCCTTACATCTTATATGTTGACCCACTTTTAACGTCATTCTATAAAAATGAAATTTCTTCAAACATTTTTACACGTGAAATCTTAAATCACAAACAAATAGTTTTCGCCTTGTTACGATTTTATTATATGTAGAGATAAGATAATATTTACTGTTTCTATTATAGCAAGATTTATTCAAGTTTAGTGACATAGCAACCCTGTGTCCAAAGGACATCTTTACCTGAAAATGGCCAGTCGGCCAAGCGGTCGGCCGTCCGTTCACCTACGACCTTGGACGTCCCGACGGCGACCGGCTGGGGAAGTGTCCTATGTATCGATACTTTGTTTCGATGGGACCGGTCGGGGAAGTATGCTATTTGTCGATACTTTGTATCGATAGGACCGACCGTTGAAGTAACCTATGTGTCGATGGGACCGGCTGGGTAAGTTACTTATTCCATAGATGTCACTGTTTATATAGAATAGGAATAAACTTAATATAAGTAGTTATAGTGATTTTTAATTCTGCTTCTCATTTTAGCATAAAAAAGAAGTCAAGGAACTTGTTTTAAATGAATATTGTACAATTTTATATTTTAATTTATGTATATGTAGATTTCTTATCTGGAATATAGGTATAAATTTCTCGTGTCAGTGTTAGTTGGCACACAGTGATTTTTATGAATTTTTATGTGTATACTCGGTAGGTCTGAGAATAGGTTGTTGTTTATATACCCCTAAGGGGACTCACTCAAAAATTTATGTTTTATTTATTTTTACATTACAGTTTTTTTTTTTGATGTGGCAATAAAAAAATACATACATAATTTACTTTCACCCTTCACCACCAGCGCCTAATTTTTAATAGTGATATTAATTTATATGACAACATAACGTTTGCCGTGTCAGCTAGTATATATAGAAATGTAATAATGAGTTGTGCACTAGACCCAATTTCTAGTATTCCAACAATTCATATGTATTTATATGTACACTTCATATAGTAACCACTGGCGGAATTTCAATGGAACTCAGTATCACAATTACTCGTACACTAAATAGGTCAGCATATAGAATGAAATATTTATTCTAGGAAATAATGTAGCATTTCCACATTCTGGTATTTGGAACTAGTTATAAACCGATCGACTTCATTACATAGTATAAAACAAAGTCGCTGTCAATGTCTGTTCGTCGCTATGTATGCTTATATCTTTAAAACTACGCAACGGATTTTGTAGCTGGTTTTTTAATAGATAGAGTGTTATATATAATAGATGTACAACCGGACGAAGCCGGGGCGAGTAGGTAGTATACCTATAAAAAGGCTATGACCGACCTAGTGATCAAATCTATATTTACGTCAAATTTAATTAAAATTTGTTAAGTCGTTTATTAATTACTAGCATAGACTGATATATACATGACTATTTTTATTAACCTATATACAAATATTAATAATATAAGAATATTTCAAAAGTCACAAGATCAATAAAATTACAAAAGGTTTTGTTGATATATTGTGCTATTTTTAGTGGACATAGAATTTTATAATACTTTTTTAATATAATTTATAACAATATTCATCTATGACTGTACTGTCGTAGGCAGTCTTAATGATGGTAGAGTCATAGACAAAAATAAAAGTAGTCATCAAAATATAGTGTAGATAGAGTTATGTAATATACATTTAATTTAATTTAGACTCTGATATAGTTTTCATATTTAATGTTTATAATTAATGTTTCAGAATATTATTCACAAAATACGCACAATCTTGCCTGGAAGACTGTACTTCCGAATCGATACGCTATTGAAATCATCAAGAGAAAACATCATAGACTAGCTGTGTCTTCGGTTTCGCCTGCATGAAATAGATAGCCTATGAGTTATTCTGGTGTATAAGCTATATTATTGTAAATTTTCATTATAATTTATACAGTAGTTTTTGCATGAAAGAGTAACAAACATGCATCCATCCATTCGCTCACACAATTTCCACATTATAATATTAGTAAGATGTAGTTCCTTAACAGCCGACAGAACACATGAAATTCTGTAGTGTTACAGGTGCCCATGGGTGACGGTAACCACTTACCATCATGTAAACCGCAGACAATGACAACAGATTGGTATGCCCCCAAGTTTGAGTGGATTTTATGACAATGTTGTAAGTATGGGAACAAAGGTTTGGTGGATTTGAAATTAGGGGAGTGGGAATTTTGATATTTTGTACTAGGTTTTCTGTACTAGGTACCTTTAGTATGATGTGCATTGAAGTTAAACAAATAAATTAACTGTAGCACATTTGTGGCCTAATACAACAATACTCTGAAAATGAAAGCAAAAAAAACGTATAATTTATTGAGAAATGATCTTTACTAAAAGGGAAGATTTTTCATTTAATGGAATTTAGGCCAAAATTTTGGGGAAAAGCAATACGATACCTTGACCGCATTATTGTTATAAAAATATATTAACTTACATTTAATTACATTACAGCAAAGGCACAGAAAGTAACCACAACTGCATCTACTCTCTCACAGCTATTCTCTTCCTCTAAGTAAGTTATTAAAATAGAAATAATTATTATTGAAATAAACTTAATACAAGCACTTTTGAATCATATTTTTTATTCTACCACTCATTCAGACCGCAGACTCATCAGAATTAATCATTCTTCTGGTGATGAATCAGAAAAATTCAATCAGAAAGTTCTTTAAATGTTGATCAGAATTACATTTTAAGGCCTTTGTACGAATACTAACTTCCAAATAGCAAAGTTGACATAAATAAATAAATAGTTACTTGAGTAACAAAATAAAGTCATAGTTATCAGAGCAGACCCTACAAATAGCACCCGTTCACAAGTATGACGGGTGAGCCAACCATCACATATGTGATGTTCAAATACACACATAGCAACAAAATCGACATATCTCTAACAGAGCCATCGTACAGTCGACTGCATTTGTTTTATAAGCTGTGTTCCGTTTTTTTTTTCAGAGATATTAATGGAATGGTACACTCGCCTGCACTAACGGCTTACGCTGGCGGGGCACCAGTGGAGGATGATAAGATACGCCTGAAGTCAGAAAGTTTGCCCATCGTGGCGAATTTACCAGAAATTGACCACGATGGTATCCAGGGGGGACTGCGACTACGAAGTCAACCTGACATGGTATATAGCTAGCAATTGGGCTACTAAAAGAAACAAGAACTGGTGTTAAGTCCACCAAATGTACTACCCTGCCCTTTCTCATCCTTCTAAGGACAAAGAACCGAATACACTTTAGACATACATTTATGGATGACACCATGACCTCCGGAATGGTTAGGCATCGAGAGCATCACTTGCCTCATATGACTATGGTGATCATACTCGCTTGCTCTCGACCGACAGCTGTATTGACATTCTAATTACGTAAAAAAGCCTCGTTGTGATAAAAACTATGTCTATGGTTTAGTTTTCTTGCAGACAAGTTTTGCTCGATTTGTTGATGAAGGGGCCCGAAATTTTCAAATACGATTCCAGTCGCAAACGCTGTCTTATCCATGTGAAATGCCACGGAATGAATCAAATAAACATACGTACAACAGCCGCACATATTAGGGCACATAAATGTTTATGTACCGCATTTTTGCATGTCTGTGTGTATTTATAGCAGTGGGCGTCGAGCCGCACGACCTTGTGCCCGAGACGCTCGTCGATAGACGCCTACTAAAAACCATGATTTCACTTTTACACGTATTAGTGCGCTGACTAATTTTAGTACACCGCTGCTTTAGTTACCCATTAATTCAGTTTGATCTTATTTCAGATCACCAGTGGATACTGATCGTGTACAGTGAATATAAAAGTCGTCGCGTGGTACAGAGGTGGCGGACAGCGCGCGCCACAGGCTCGCTCGCCAATTTCGCACACGATAAGTTCATCGACTCCTACAAGGATGCGTGAATGTACGGAAATTAACTGATGCGGCATTTGGTCGTTAAAACAACCGACTTCCGATGTTTTTTTTGTTTATTCTCACTGCGTGAAACGATCGCAACGCATTTTTATAGTTACTAAAATAGAATAATATTTTTTAATTAGTGTTTTTTATTAGATAATTACGATTTAAAATGTCTATATTAATATCTCATGGTTATTATTATAATTGTATTCTGTATCTCAATTATTAATGTGTTTATGATAAATATATTAAGTACCTAATTATGTTTTTGCCTACCATCTTTATCCACGTCAGTAACCCTGTCCAATTTCAATATTTAAATCCTTTAAAATGTGAAAGTGAGTTTCTTTGTGAATTGGTACAGTTATATCAATGTCTCCAAAAAAAAAATAAGATTTGGATGAATAAACACAATCCTAGTAAAATTTAATATTCTAGAAATATAATTTCCAATAATAAAGTTAGTAAAGTTAAGCTAGTAAATAGCGAATAATTAACTTGAAGTTTCGTGTAATTTGAAATAAACTTAGTAATCAGTTTCTTTTAAGGTTTAGACATTGACACAGAAGCCTCTTATAAAGTGGAAAGAGAATAATAATAATAACATATTTATCATATTAATACAATCATATTCACACACACATTCGATTCTGTAGTTTTACTCTATTTTTGTCCGTTTTCTCTTACCACGGACATTTCTTGATCTATAAACCATCACACTATCTAAGTATGATATACTTTGTATGATTGAAACATCTGTGCTTCCAATATTGTTGAATGGTTGCGATAAATTACCTAAACAATATTTCTCCACGCAAGCAGTCATTATATTGTGTACATTAAAAAAAATTGAGAGAATAAATTAAATAAAATTCTATTCTATTCTATTCTAAAAAAAACTACAAACAAATCCAAGTCTTCATTAAGTCTACGAGCAAACGCTACGCAAGCTCTACATTATGAATATTTGTAGAATGTGTTAGATACATTGAGCATCTACAACATGATATGAGAATTGTCGACAAGAGAGAGAAAAGTAAAATGATAGTAAAATGACCTACCTTAGTAATTACACTAAATAAGAAATTAAAATTATCAATAAAAGTTATAATTAATCTAACTATAATATCTGTTTTATTTAGTGACCTTAATTTCAATGTCATTTATGATATATTTTTTAAAGAAGCAAATTTTGATCCAACTACTGATGTGAAATTTATTCCACCCTAAACTTTGGCTTTAACATCATTCAGCGTTTATGTAGTACAATCATATATGAAAAAAGTAAAAGTAACTTTTCTTATCAATTCTTTTTATTTTGAACAGATATCCTTCAATTGCAACTCCCTATTCTTGAAGTCAATGAAAATATAATTTGCTAATGTTTCATTAACTTTCCTTACTATGGAATTTACATATTAACCAAAATAATAAATAACTATTCCAAAGAAGATGGTAACAATCACTTGTGAAAACACAAAAATGTTACAATTATTTACAGAAAGGAAATAGTTATAAAATAAAAAATTTCGGTCACGTCTGCGTTTAGAGAAAAAAACTGTATATAATTGGTCCATTTATTTAGAATTCCACAATTTCCTTCCCTTCAATTCCACACTTTCTTTTTGTGTTGGGATTAAACTTAAAGAGATCAAAAATGTAACACTTTATATATAATAAAGTAATTTATATGCGTGAAGCAAAACCTTTGTGTTCCTTTTTACGAAAACGCACGAACGGAGTAGTATAAAATATAGCAAAATTGTTATTTATATAAAGAAGGAGAGAGCAAAAGCAGAATAAGAAAATTGTGTTGACAGAGGAATAGGAAATTTCTCACAATTATAGTTCATATAGAGAAGAGAAATAGTGCAAAATGTTACCATTTTTTTATTATGCATAAAAAATACATTAAATCAATAAAAATAACATTACACACACTACCGTGTATTTCACATAGACACGCACATAATATTTTCTTTATTACCTGTGCAACTGACAGTGTCTGTAATTGTAGAATAGATAGAAAGTCTTTGACAATAGAACCTTAATAATGTTCACACGTAAGTTTGAATTTTGTGGTCGAATTTCAACTACTAATGTAGTATAAACAAACCGGCCACCTGTGGCGTCACTTGTAGTATAACATGCCACATCCAAATGTAACTTAATTTAAGTGATTTCGAGCGTCCACAGCGGTATGTCACTCACACAAATAAAATCAATTGTATTGTCGCCATGCACACAAACAAAGATTTACTATGTGTACACACAGTCGCGTACAACAGGCGGCAGAATTTATTAGAAATACAATATAAATAAAAGCACAGCCATCAGTTTACAGCGATGATTCGCATAATGACAGATAAGCAAGCCCACTCTCGAATATCAAGAAAATTTGTTCGTCCGTTTGTTCTAGCTAATCTCTAAAACGGCTGGACCGACTTTAATAAGAGTTCACTCGCAGATGGCTAACATTATATGGAGTAACATAGGTAGCTTTTATTTTAGATGCAACAGTGAAGGATCACAAGATGAACATGAGATCAGGTCAGTTAGCCCATCGTGGTCAATTCACCAGTAATTTATAACGTTGGTTTCCAGGGGAACCGCTTGTCAACCTGACATGGAACATTGCTAGCAATAAAGTCATCAGTCCACATTATTAAAAATTCTCTTTCTCCTTCGTATATTAGATAGAGTCTGTACAGTGCTATATGCGTAACTCTATGTGAATGGCTGAAATGCCGCTATTAGGCCGCGAGCCAGAAACAAGTAAGGTGACCGATTTGCTCCCGGTCCAATATTTCTAAAATGGTTAAGATAGTTGTGTCACTCAAAGCCACCTATGGTGGTGAGTTGAAGAGCAACCTCGTAAACATGTAAAAAATAATTCAATTGACAGCCTCGATGGTCTAGTGGTTTAGCACGCTTAACTTTCGATGGTCGCGGGTTCGATTTCTCACATGGTACAAACATTTGTATTCATGAGTATCATTGTTTATATCGGTCTGCGTGTTTTCTATGTATATTATGTATGTATTTACAAAAATATATCTAAGTATTTATATCAGTTGTTTAGTACCCATAACACAAGCTCTGCTTACCTTGGGAATAGATGGCACTGCGTGAATTGTTTAGGAATATTACGTTATTTCTGTCCCGTAGCTACATATATTACGTAGCACTATTTCATAGAAATATTATTTGATCTGTAGCAATATAAGTACTATGAAATTACGTAAATATATTCTGTCCGTGCGTCAGTGAGCTGTGGCCCTTAGATCAACTTGTCGGCAACCATTGAGGTATTATATACCTAGAGAAGACACAGCATAAATAAAAAATAGACAAAATAAATATACTCTAATCTCAGATCTAGTATAGTAATAAAGCTATACGTTCAACAGAGATTAGATCTCTGATGAAGGTAAAAGATAAAAGGCATTATTAACTGTGGACGTCATGGTGTATATGACACTAAAAATACTGGCATTTCGTTGGGCAGGTATATTTATAATTAAATCTGGCGGACGCTCTACCATCAACCTACTGCTGTGTTTAGGACTAATTTGGTTTGTTATTGACAGAATAACATGCTCGCATTGCTTTGTGTACCTACCTATGTTTTTAATCCAACACGACGGAGGCAAACTAAGCGACGTGTTACGCAATAATTTTCTTTGTTATCGGTAACTATCGCCGAAGAATCAAAAATATGAATTGAGTTTGTATGCTTGTATGTAACATCCATACAAACTTTTCTGACTTAAAACTCATGGGATCTATAAGTAAGGATAGTAAACCACTACATTATTTATAACTATTATAACTTCATTAATTTTGAAAATAATATAATTAATCGGTAAAGATTAATGTACGCAACGAGTTTCAATGCCTAATATAATGTACTAAATTGCGGCGATAACGCTACAATTTGTTGGAAAATTATATCTCATATCTGGAACATTATAAATTTATATATCTCATTGGTTTCGAGTAAATATAATGGGTCCACTTCTACAAATATACTCTGTCTTCAGAAGTAGAATTCCCCTTATGTTTATAATACATTACCGTACCTATGTATTTATCATTAGACTTTATACAAAGTCGTCTGCGGAGTATCGCTGTCTCTATTTCAGATTCAGTTTCAGCCAACAAACAGCTTGCTTTGTGAGATATGTCGGTACTAAGAATGAGACATGGTAGTGAAAGTACATGATATAGTGGGATATTTTAGTCCTCCACAAATACAATGCATACGGAGTATCACAGGCATCATGTGATGATATGATATTCGTAGTATTTATGATATATGCGAAGGTTGCCACTGACGATACATGCACCGTTTAGCTTTCCATTTCTTAATAGTAAGCTGGTGGCAAACAAGCATACGGCTCATCTGATGGTAAACGGTTACTAATAACCTTAGGATGCCTGAGACACCAGAGGTGTTACGTGTGAGTTGCTGGCCCTTAAGAAATCTATCTATTTAATAAAAAAAAAATTTCATCCGCTCTCGTCGTGAATTGTCAGATTTTATTCAAAATATTTTTTTGTACACAAATGAAATAGCCGTCTCCTATGGCTCCTCTCTCTGTCCTCTCCGTATGGTTGATTCCGTTGGTTAAAAATTTTGTAGTAATTTTTAACCAACGTACAGGGCCCACTCAATATTCGCTCGCGACCCATAGTTTGACAAGTACTGGCATTAAGGTTTATTATAGAGTAAAATAGCTTGTTTCAGATTTCTTTTGTTTCGTGTACCGTGACGGTGACATTCGTATTTTTTTACTCAATTGTTGAATAAATGGAGATCATGGTTTTTCGTGCATATGTATAAATATTTTTATAACAGCCCAATTTCCTTGTGGCCGACGGAATATGTATTGTATTTTTTTTAATATGACGCTAATGGCATCCTGGCGGTTTATCAGTATAGCATGATATACTGATGAGGATAAAGACCAGGTAGCCAATCATTGTCTATTCAGCAGGAATTACCGTAATAGGGGCGTATCTACCGCATTGGAGTAATTTTTAATTTCAATTACCGAATTTTTTTTTGGTATCTGCCCTATTCGAAACTATGAACTTTTGAGATAGAAATCAGAGCATTAGACAATTATACTACAACTTTCTTATTTATTTATTTGTTATGGAATAGGTACAGCTGTAAATATTGTGTAAATTATTTTTTATAAGCCAATTTAAAGTCAAAGCCATGGTAGATGTGGTATGGCAAGGTAATGAGACGTGTAGAGAGTCATATGGCCAAAATACTCTTGAACCTTAACACCGACTCAAAGAGACTAGGAAGAC